TGTCTTGGTGGCTCCGGCCGCTGGGTAGCAGACTCCTCTTCTTCAGTGTGACTCAGAAGGCTTTTTCTGACAGGTTGAAACCAGGTCAGGGCCAGGTCATCTTCTCTCATATGACTGTCAGATAGACAGGTGGTAATTGTGGTCCGGGGAGAGAGCACACTGGGTGCAGAGCGCAGAGCTCTAGGTGCTAATCCCAGTTTGCCCCTTAGTTTTTCAGTGACTTCGGACAGGTCTCCCAACCTCTGTGAGCTCCACATCCTTCGTTTGCAAAATGTGATCGCCGTTAACTGCTCTCTTTTGCTCTCAGAACTGTTGTGAGGGTTTCACGAAGTCGTGTGTGCAGGACCTTTGTCACCTCCCTCACGACGTAAAGTGGGAGACTCCCCCGCCCTCAAGCAGGGCTGGGTCTCCGGGAGCAGGGGCGGGGGCGGTAAGATAAGGCTTTGGAAATATTTCACCCTATACAGCTTGGGGTTTTTTGTCAGTATTGCTTTCATGTGTCTTTTGAAATCATTCCCAGCCCATTGGTGTGGCGTTGCTCATAGCAGACACTAGCCTTACATTCAGAACTCTCTGGGGCCTGGACACGGGGAGATCAGGGCACATGGTGCTTGCTTTTGAAAAGCTCATGGTCTGGTAAGGGAGCTCTGACTCGTTACCAGTGTTCCTTCGGAGAAGTAAACCAGGGTTCAGGGTGCTATGGGGGCACAGGAACAGGACGATGGGGTCCCGGTTTCCCAGAGCACAGTGTGGACTGTGTGAGGCAGTGCTAAACACAGCATTCTAGTGCCAGCAGGCACACGAGTTAGGGATAGACTGCTTGATTTTGAAGGCTGGCTCTACCATTTGCTTCCTCTGTGACCTTGGAGGCCTCCTTAACTTCTTTGTGCCTTGGTTTCTTCATCCATAGAATGGGCATAATGACAGAACCGATGTCCTAGTTATGAGAGCTGTGCGCTCGAAACGTGTTTTATCATTTGATTTTTTAAAAGTGTTTTAACTTCTCCATTGGAGAATCTAAACTGATGTTTATAACTAGAAGTGCTGCATTTCTAGAGGTAGGATCCTGACACAACAGTGTTTCATATTTACAGTATAGTAAGACTCTCATAGTTTTATTTTGTGTAACTAGTTTACAGAAAACGACTTACTCAGGCTATGTAGTTTGTTAAATATGCTTATTTGACATGTTGCCTTTTCTCTATGGAAACAGGGCTGCAGAAGTAGCATCAGTAAGCGCTAGGTGACCACCAGTCATCGGTGGGCCCCACTGTAGCTCATGTGGCATTAACAGTAAGTGGTTCAGGACATGGTGTTGTGCTTCGCAGTCTCGTGTCCTCATACGAACCCTCCCCCGGTCCCTCACACGTGGTTTGTGGAAGATGAGCAGGTGACAGGTGCCACGGTTTTCTCTTCTGAGAGACTGAGTCACAGGCCTGGGGCCCCTCCTCTGATCGCTGGTCCCTGCTCTTGCGGCCCAGAGCAAACCCTTGTTATGGTAAAAGCCCAGTCCTCTGCTGTCACTGGGGAGGCATTTCTGTGGAGGACAATTTTCTAAACAAACAGGGGGTACAGCTATCTCCACCTTTTGGTTTTAATTTGCTTTTTAAAATTTAAAATTGTGCTGTAAGCTGTTTGTCTCCTTCACACACTGAGATACTAGTGAGCCCCGCCCCCACCCCCGGGCCCACTGGCTGTGACTGCATCGTGGCACCCTGTCCACTGATGGGTGACCTTTGCAGTCGTTTGGACACACACTGAGAGGAGGCTCCTTATCTCCAGCGGCTGCTGCGTTTATCCAGTGAGACACCCGGAACTCTGCACTCCTGCCTCGCTGATTCCTCCCCATCTCAGAACAAGTCTGTCTCAGCCACGAGCCCTCTTCTCGAGGATCCACTAAGTTCTGCTTTTGCCGCTTCTAATTTCTGATTCTGCTCCTATCTCTGCCACACCCTCCTCTGTGATTTTCCTGCCTCTTTCCTGATCCATCTGTTCTCTTGGCAAGCCTTTGTTGAGCGCGTGTGATGTGCGGTGCCCCAGGATGCAGAGGTACAGAAGAAAACCAGACGAGAAGCAGGCGTAGCGCAGCTCCGGGCAGTGCGGGCAGGTGCAGGTGCTGTGGGGGCCGAGTGGGGGAGAGGATGGGGACGTGGGGAAGTCTCCACGGAGCAGGGGGCGCCCGCGTGTGTTCACCGGTGGAAACGGGAAGGGATCTTGAGCCTCGAGCAGCGTGAGCCAACTGCAAGGAGTGAAGAGTGGTGTAACTGGAGAATTATGACCTCAAGGTTCTGGGAGGCGGGTGTGAGGCTCTCTTGAAACAACAGCCCCGGGCCAAGTGGGAAGGGGTCTGGTGTCCCCAGACACCAGAGGTGCAGACCTCACCTGGACGTGGCCAGGAGTTGCCTGATGGTTTCCGTAGCCCACCAGTGAACGTGCTGACCAGCAGCCAAGCCAAGCAGGGCTGAGGGGAGGAAGGATTGGAAAAAAGATGCCAGTTGGGAAGCCTTTGCAGTAACCTGGAGAGAGAGGATGAGGACCAAATGCAGGTGAAGAGCGGGAGGGCAGAGTTCATAACTGTTTGGAGGAAGAGTCATTAGGGCTTGGGGAGAGAGGGGTGGGGATGGACAGAATTGGCCCGTGGAACTGTATCACTGGTGAAGCCCTGAGCTAGTCAGGGCTGCAAGAGCCAGTGAGGGTGGGGTAGGGGCAGGGCTAACAGGGAAGATGCAGAGTTTAGATTTGCAGATTAAAGGTGCCTTTGGGATTTCATGGAGTTGCCCACAGGGCAGTTGGAAATACGGGTCCAGGCTCAGGAGTCAGAGCTGAAGTAGGGTGACTTAAGGATTTAGATGGTGGTTTTGAGCTTGGACTGCCCAAGGAGAGTATGTATAGGAAAAAAGAAAAGAAGAAAGAGGAAGTGGCTGACAGCACATCAGAGAATATGGCCTTAAGGGCTGGCTGGTTTCAGGGTAACCTGTGCTTTGACAGGATGGAGTGAATAGAGCACCTGCCAGCAAACACTTAAGGGTCAGGTGGAGGAGGAGGAGCTGCCAGAGAGACTTAAGTGAGAAGAGGCGAGTCAAAGAGCAGAACGCCGCTGGGGGAGGTGCCAGGCCGTGGGAGCCCCGCCGCCGGGCGGGTGCTGCTCGGGGTTCTGGTGGAGTGGCTTTTGGGGCTCGTGACTCAGCTCACTGGCGTCAGTGAAAATTGGTGTTTCTTCTGCCTTCTGAATGTCATCTTGCTTCCTGATTTTTACATGAAAGAATTGATATTTATAGATTTTAGGTAATTGGAACATCCCTTTCTTTCTATTTGAAAAATGAGCTGAGTAAGAGTATAATTGTTCGATCATTTTTTTTAGTTATAGCTGTTCTTGTTTGCAGCTCAAAAGAGTTTTTCTCTCCTTCACATGCAGATCGTGTTCTGGATATAGCCAGCCAGCAACATATTAGAAGTTTCCTAACTGGAAGTTTTACTCTACACGGATTCTGTTATACTGAGGCCTTTTAATCTGAACATCTGTAGTATCTGCAGTAACGTTCACATCTTGTGTACGGGGCACGCTCAGAGTGCAGGGGATAGTTCAGAGAGCTGTGTCCTGAGTGAATGCACTGAGAGCCCCTGGCGCGCTGGGCGACTTGGCCTGCCCCTGCTCTGGGCTGGAGGGGGCGGACGTCCGCTTTCCTCTCCATCTGTTTCAGGCTCCACGTAGCTCTCAAGGTACCGCTAACTCTCTAAATAGATTATGAATCTTGTATTTAAAGAAACGTGTGTATATGTGTAATTTGGGGGAGAAGCTATAACCTCTGTACACAAGCAAGCCACTTCACATGATCCTTAAAGAACTGTTGGTCTGTCCCAGCACTGGCGGAAGCAAGCGTTTTGGGCCCACTGGGGGACAGTGGTCTGCTTCTGAGTGTATTTTTGTCTCTACATTCTCTTCCCCACCTCTGCCGCCTTAAATCCTAGCGCTCACATAAAACAGAACTCCTTAGGTCAATAGTCATAAAGGAAATCAGCTTCTTCTCTGTCATTTTTTGGAGGGAACACCAATACTGTATTTGGCAAAAGGACCACAAGGCCAACTTATAGCAAAGAGGACAGTGTGAAACCCTCGGCATCCTGAGTTCTGGAGGAGAGTGTGGCCTCAGAGAGAGTGAGAGTAGGAAGAAGTACATGGAGTCAGGAGTACTGAGAGGCCACGGAGGTGATGGCCATCGGGGGAGTGCCACATGTTGGGAATAATTGGGGTTAGGCATTAACAACCTTACCTTCTCATCTCAAGTCTGCCAGATGCAGCCGGGTGGAAAGTATTCAACCTCCTTGACCTTTCTTGCCTCATCTGAGACAAGATGACGGTGGGTGAACATCAGAGAAACGGAGGAAACAGGTGGACGAATCCAAGGAAAGGGAGGCCTTTCAGAGTGGGTTGAGGGTCTGCCCTGTATGACTTAGGATCATCGTCATGCTGGGAAGCCGTCACCTAGAGAAACGGCATTCTTTAGGCACTTGCACAATCTCAGAAGCTGAAGAAGGACGAACTTGCACCAGCATCCATGTAGTTCACCCAGGATAGTTCCTGGACTGGAGCAACGCCTTTTAGGTGACTTGGCTCCCTTTTGATTTTGTGTGTGCGTGTGTGTGAATATCTCTATTTTATGTATACTTGACAGGTACTGTTTTTACTTGAACATTACTTGATCTCTCCATCAGTCCAGGTCCCGTATCACCTGCAGAGGCCCAGGACTAGGCTCTCACAAAACCCTTTTCTGACTATTCTGGGTCATGGTAATCGTCCCTTCTACATTCCTGTGACATTTTCAGTTTATATCACACAGAGCAGCGCTTTTCTCAACAATCTTTGCTAATGGTTTGTGTGCAGTTCGTTTTTGGGCACGGAATTACAGATGACTTTGTTTTATTCTGTTGTTATGCGTATGTATTACCTGTGGCCCCAGCTAGCATGTAAATTCCTTGATAAACACTGTCCTTTTTGTTTTGTGTCATTTTTTTTCCCATAGAGCTTTCATTGTTGAGGTTCCTCGGTGCTGAACTAACCAGAGGGTACTTCCTTGAACATAATGAGGCCAAGTATACAGAAAGAAGAGAAAGAGTGTACACTTGTATGCGAATACCAAGAGAATTGGAAAAGGTACTTTTTTTTAAATTACTGGACATCATTTTGAAAGTTATGTCAACATGTTAATTCTATTAAAAAAAATTTGTGAACAGCTTGAGTTGGCTTTTAAAATATTGGAAATAATGTGATCGTAAGTAATTAAATATATTGGGGGATAGGAATTCCCACACAGGAAGAGTCTTTTAAAAGTGTATTTTTAGTGTTACATCCAATGATTTGTAACTTTGCTACTTATTAAACTTACCATATTTCCGTTTGTGTCCCATCCAAATAGCTTTTTCCATGGAATTACTCTCCACTCACTTCTTTAGTTCTCTTCAGTTTTGTTTTACTAGAATCAGGGTTTTTTTTGTTTTTCCATTCAACGTGATATAAATTATTTCAGCTGTTTTTTAAGACTTCAGTTTCTCCAAAAGCCCTCATATTCAGAAACATTAAATGACAGTCTCTTCCCCCAAAAAAGAAAAAAGGAGATTCACTTGACCTTCCTCCCAGAAAACATCACGGCACAGGACGAGCTCAGTAACCGCGACACTAACTGCTACACACCGTCCTCCCTCGACTGCATCTCGGTGCATCAGGACCCGTCAGACAGGAAGGTGGCTCTTTTCCCTCTGTGTCGCTAGAGTCGAGTCTGAACAATTCTGAAATTCCTTATAAGAAGCAGAGAATTAAGAAATAATTCAGCTGCAGCTATATTGCAGTACATTTTCATACTTTTATAGTAACACAAAACTTGTGATGTTCCAACCGCTTCCTTAGAATCATGCTCTCTATTGGAGCAGCTCTCAGACTCCGTGCATTGTCGTAACAGGAGGTGCGGTAGACAATGTGCAGAAGGATGCAGGTGGTTTGGCTGATGTTCTTTATTTCTGGAAGTCCATCAGTTTGGTGGAAGGAAGAGAGTCAGATTTGGAGTGACAGCTTGAGAAATGAGGCTTTACGTACACTCTCGGTGGCGTGCTGCCTGCGGAAGCTTTGGGAAGTTCTGTGTTAAGGTGGGATTTAGAGAGCTGGGGGTCAGGCTGACATTTGAGACTGTGAAACAGTTTGTTGCCTTTGGTCAAGATCATTAAATGTGCTTTTATTATTGTCTTGCTGCTTTTCTAGGGAGTTCTGGGGTTCTGTGGAGGAGCAGACGGGCTGGAAATGAGGGGGGCGTCCCGGTGACCCTCCTCTGCAAGTGCAGCAGCATCTTTATCATTGGAGTTGCTGTAAGATTTTGTCCAGGAGGGGCCTCGGGGACAGTGTTCTTCTGCTTGCAAAAAACAAAACAAAACAGAAAATTAAGTTATTCATGTGTCTTTCTTTAAACACTTCAACCAGCTTTTCGAGCTCACTTTTTCCAGTGGTAAGCCCTGGGCAGGAAGTGTGAGGATGCTGCAGAGGGCACTGCCGGGCTCTCGGACAGGGCAGTGCCAGCCTAGTGCAGTTTTCACCCCCTGGTGTCAGCCTCCAGGAGGGAAGTTTTTTCCCCCCACCTGTCTGAGCAGGTGTGTACTCCCATTTTCCTCTGGGGAGAGCACAGGGGGATTTGCCCACAATCCACAGCCAAACTTTATGGACACACCCAGGGGGCTGCCTCAAAGCAGGCAGTTGTCCGTCCTCCCTCTTGTACTGCCCACCTGTGACAGGAAAATGAGCCCTCAGAATTTTGTCACCTCTTCAGAGGCAGGTTCAACACACACATCCTTCTCTCTTCTTTATTAGCAACATTGAAATAAGCACGTTTCTGGGTAGCTTCCTTACAGACATTTGTAAGCATTTCGTGTGTTTTATTCTGAGTGTTAAGATGTCTTCTGGGGAAAATCCCTGCGGGTCTTGATGAGGCTTCAGTAAAAACCAGTTTTTCTACCTGTGGTCTGTTGTGGGACCACTGATGGGGGAGTAACCTGCATGGTCAATTGTAATCAATTAGGCTTTTTTTTTCGTTTTTAAAGAATAGAAAAAGTGTCAGATTACATTCATTGCCCATCCTAAGGGTAAGTGTTTTTTCTTGGAACTTTGGTTTCGTTTGTATGTGGGTAAAATGCATCCCGTCAGAAAAGCTGAAGGAACACTGCTTATGCACAGTTGTGATTGTTCTCTAATCCTGCTTTCCATGAGAGGGGCTTTTGGCTTTAGTCCTATTTGGGAAATTTTGGTGTAGTCTCTTAGAACAGCACTTTAGAAGTTTCATTGCTTGAATGTATGAAAGAATGTTATCTTTTTCAGTTTAGAGCAGTTTTTTCTTCTAGGACTCACTGAGGCACAGAGGAAAACAGAGTTAGATAGATCTCTGTTTAATTCCAGGCTTAAATATCTGTCTTAACAGCATGAATTCACTCTGCCATCCCCATGGCCTTTATTTTCTATGAGGGGGTCCACTTCAGGCTTCTGTTACGATAGCAACCTAACTGACTTTTCCTGTTTCCTTTGTGTTTACGTTGTCTACTCTAAACGTAATGCCTCACTCACTTTTGTTGTTGTTCGTGTTTCTTTTGGGTAAACGCATGGCATTTTCACCTAACCTTTTTGGGAAGAGAAACTTGATAATCAAGGAGTACTTTGCTTGTTCAGGGGTTGCAAATATGGTAAAACGTGTAATTAATGCTTATACTTTGAAGTCAAGAGAAAGGTCAACTCAGTATCTCTTACTAGAGCTGTTTAATGATTGTAAAAAAAAAAAAAATCCCAAGGTTTTTGTGTAATATTGTCAGTGGATAAACACGTTATACTTGACATTTAATAAAGATGAATTTCTCATATATTTAAAGTAGTATTTCTAATTATTATCACTTCTTTACATTTGAACTTCTCAATCTAATGTAAGGGTGTGAAATTTTGGAGTATTTTGTTGACTTTGGGGCAGCATTTCTTTTTTTCTCTGCAAATCCCTTTTCCCTTCTGCACACACACCTTTTGGGTTCTTGTCCTGGATCTGCTAATTGCTTACGTGGTCCCTTTCAGGGGCTGTGTGTTTCTCTTTGATACAACCGAGAAGGCTGAACTGTACTTTATCTGCATCCTGTACTGAGAGCCAGGATAGCGGAGAGATTGAGGGCATGAATTCTAAAGCTGAGCTGCCTGGATTTGAATCTTGGCTCAAGTTCCTTGAGGCTTTGACCAATTCACTTCTGTCCGTGCGCCTCAGTTTTCTCACCTGTATGTTAATTATGTGGTAAGCCTTATATAGGTGTTTTAAAAGTGTTTTACCAGCCTTGCTTCAGCAATTCTGGGAGAACAGGGACATCTGAAAGGTTTCTTGTCCTCAGGATGCATTCCAGAGGAGGTCTTGCTTGCAGTAGAGGTAGCTGTCGCCTTGGGCCAAGGACAGCAGGAAGTGATAGGGAGAGGACTGGTTTTGAAGGTTCCCCTATGCCCCACTTTGAGCTTACGTTATACTTTTAATCTTCCTGCTTTGCTTGCTAATAAACTTGATTTTTCTAACCCTGCAAGGGGCATGGTTTTCTGACCCTCAGCCTTCTTGGTTTTGCTGACCTCAGGCAGAAAGAACCTTTAGAGAAAACTATTTTCTTCTCTTCTTCCTTTTAGCCAGCTGTCTTAGGGTAAAGCTTATCTCTTTCATGAGCTGATGGCCATAGAGATAGCACACCCTACCACCCTGACATTTTCTGCCAAGCCCTCAGGACTGGCCTCAGCAGCCCCATGGCTGGAGCTTACAGTTAGGGCAGGCAATGGTCACTTTAACCAGGTGCTTGGTGGAACCAGGCAGGGATCACCAGTTTCCTGGAGAGGAGATTCCTGGTGAGTGATTTATACTGCTCCATACCTACTTGGCTTGGCCAGTTATATTCCACCTCTGGCTTCCATTTCTGTGTTAATAATAAACAAATAGGAAACTTAAATTCAGTTTCTTGTAATGAGCTGTAATGGAAAAGAATCTGAAAATATATATATATATGTATATGTATAGCTGAATCGCTTTGCTATACAACATAAAACTAACATTGTAAATTGACTACATTTCAATACAAAAGTATGATTTAAAAAAAACACTAAAAATAAATAAAACAAATAGCATTTACCAAATAAAGATTAATGCTAGACACAAGTCTGAGCACTTGAAATGAGTTAACATTAAATCCCGTTCACAGCCTCCTGACATACGTGTAGTCTTAAAGTTTCGCGTCCTCCGCCTGCCGCACCGTGCAGTCCCATACAGACGTCCAGATTGAGCTCCCTTTAACCTATGTGTTAGTGGAAACGTGCTAGTGTACTACATTTCAACCCCATACAAACAATTTACCCCGGACTATGTACAAAATTAGCCCTTGGGTATGCTAGGGAGATCAGAGAGGGGCAGGGGGTGGAAATTATTAGGAACACACAAGGAAGTTCAGGTATGCTGGAAGGATACGCTGGATCCAAGCTACTTTGAATGGTTAGCCTAAAAAGTTTAGACTAACTTTGGGAGGAAATTAAAATTTATTTCTGAAACATACTTTTAGCTGTGCATGTAACAGAATACCTAACAGTGACTTAAACAAAAAGACTTTTAAGAATTTTTTTTAACGAGTCTAGAGGAAGGAGGTCTCAGTCGTTCCAGCAGATTAATGAAGCCAGCGTGGACTCAAGTCCTTTTTATCTTTCTACTTCACCATCCCATGGTTGGCAAATTGGCTTTTGGTCCTCTTGCTTGCTGCCTTTTTATAGAAGGATGACAGCTGCAACCTCAGGCATTACATCTGCATTATAATCAGAAACCAGAGGAGATGACCATGCCGCCTTTTCCACTGTCCCTTTTATAAAGAGCTTTGAGTGTCTCAGCATGCTTCCTTCGTCTTGTGTCTCATTGGAGTTCCACAGCCATCCCAGCTGCATGGGGACTGGGACAGTGACTGTCATGCTTTTCCAGCAAAGGCAGGAGCAGACTGACGGTGGTACCCACCCCGAGGCTCTGCTCCCGGGGCACAGCGGTGCTCAGCGTGGGCGAGGGGGAAGAGATGCGTGGGGAGCTCACGAGCCCTCTAGGTGCGTTGTCTTCCTTCAGGTTAAAATCCACTGAGTTA